TGTATTACTTCCATGAAGGAACACAGGTAAAGGGACTTTCTTTAGAAAGAAGTCTGAGGTTTATTCATCAGGTTGCTGTTGCCCCAGTGAGGGCAGTTGTGGTCCTCAAGGCTTTCTGACATGCCTATTTGTAGAAAGAAAAGTGGGCTATAGTTGCCAATATCCAGAAGAGGTGGCAGAAACATAACTTTCCCAAGTTCGTAGACCAGAAAAGGTAGGAGACAGGTTGTGAGGCTTAATAAAACAAGTTATCAAAAAAGAAAGAATCAACATTATCTTAGTGCACAAGATCTATTTTCCTAAGAGGAGCATTGTCAATACAATAACCATGTCTGTAAATACAGGGATTTCTTGTTTATACTCAATAGCTATTAGAAACATGTCATAAAATTGCTATGTGTGTCTTTGCCCCTAGACAATAAGATGCCATATACTCATAATATTATACTTGGGTGGAACTGAACAAGGGGTGTTTAGGTAGGTCAACCCATTAAATACATAATAATGTTAATTTCCAGAGGTATAATATTTTCAAAAGATATTAACTGGGTACTTAGGTGACATCCCATTGAAATAGTATTAATTTTTTTTTGTCTTTGATAGTTTTTGCTGAAGCAAAGTAGGTAAGAAAACTATAGTTACTGAACACCAAAAAAATTAATTTACCAAATAAGGGGAAAAAATGGGCCTCTCTGATTTAGCCTGGCCAATGTAGAAAATTATGTCATAGATCATGATTTATTACAAATTATAAATCACAAAGGTCTAGGTGGACTGGAGCTAACTTGTATTCTAACCAGGTCAGAAAATGACATCATTCAGCTATCTCAAGCAAAATCACAATATGGGTGGTTATGAGTTTGAGAAATCTGTTTTTTACCCACATAAGTCAATTATTTAATATATATATATATACATATACATATATATATATATATATATTTAAGAAGGTCTTAAAAGTAACTGTAGTGTTTATATAAAATGTGTCAAAATTTTTATTAAAAAGTAACTATGAACTCTGTCCTTAAGTTTCCCTTATCACATATGGATATTTATGTGGATGGATATCAAATAATTACGTTTATTGAGAAGAACAATTTACAATTAACATTGTCAAGTGTTTGAATTTGGTACATTAGAGTTAGAAGGCAAAAAATCATTTTGTGGGAAGTGACTATAAGTCTTTCAATAAAGTTGTAGAATAAAGGTAATATGTAATGTTTATATGTTGTTTGACATTTATAGGCTCAACAGCTTAAACTAAAACACACAAATACAGTACAGAAGAAAATGAATTGAAGGAATTGTTCTTATATTTTCCTTATTCTTTATTGCTCTTATCTCACTCTTCCTCATTTAATATAACTCTTCTTATAGTCTTGGATAAAAATCATACAGTGATACCTGCTGCTGCTGCTTCTCTCACATTCAAACCATGAGTTTCAGAATAGACAGAGTGTATCAGTTTCCCACTGTTTCTAGCTTGAACTATTACAATGATATTTCACTTTAAAGTGTTCTGTCTTTCAATTGTTCATCCATCCACCCATTTACTAACTACTATTAAACAGTCACTTAATTCATGCAGGGTATTTAATTACACACAAAAATGCTTCCCTAGCCATACAAAAGGAATACCTCTCACTATTGTAATATGCAAGATATAACTGCCAGGGTAGTAAACAGCCAATACTAGGACAATAATAATGCTCAGGTAAACAATAACATCTCAAGCTGGGATTTCAATGCTTTGCTTCCAAAATAAACTGAAGAACCTAATTTGTATGTTATTTAAAATATTCTGATACAGCATTGTGAGCAAATGGTTTTGGCTTATAAAAGGCGTAAAAAGAAATGAATGACATTGTTATATCAATATTCTTTTTGTTTTTCTTGCTTCAAATGAACAAGATGTTTTTGTCGTTAGGTCTCTAAACATGAAAAAAGAGAAAAACACTTGAACTCTGTCAGATACTAGCTATAAGTAATACTCATCCACAGAAACTTAGATAGCAGGTCCAACCTTACTGAGAAGTATATTTCAATAAAACATTGTATTTTAGAATCAGGCCCTCCCTGGTGGCACAGCGGGTTAAAGAGCAGCATTGTAAGCCAGCTGCAGCTGATTCAGTGGGAGTTTGATTCCCCCCCCACCCCTCAGGTGATCCACATGGTGCAGCAGACCTCTCCTGTTCCACCTGCAGTGTACTCAGTGCCTCTGTCTGTTCTGCTCAGGACCTTGTGTCTGGTGAATCCTCTCTCACCTCCACTGGCCTAAGCACAATAATCAAGTAATAACTTAGTACCCCAGTTCTGTATGCATAAATAAATAAATCTTTTTAAAAAAATTACTTTTTAGAATTAGTAAAAGTTGTGTTATTTACATTTGATCAGCTGTATACTATATTACAATAGTTATATCTATAAAATTTTTTCTGAATTGACATAACATTAAGGCCATTATGATCACAAAATATGCAATAAACATAAATATTCACATACTTTTTGCTACAGGATAAAAAGTAATCACTTCAGTGCCTAAAACTATACCGCATAAGAAAGCTCTACAGTTCAGGGTTTCTTAATAGCACAGGGTTTCTTTTTGACACTTTGGGCTGGTCTTGTGCAACATAGGATGTAGGAGTTCAGATACCTGACCTCTTCCCACTAGATGTCAATAGCTCCTTCTCCCTAAACTAGGATACCAAAACTGTCTCCAGTTGTCAAATGTCCTGCGGGGGTAGCTGAGAAGCTATAAGCAATGTAACATAAAATTACTACTAAAGACAGTTCAGTTTTTAAAAATGGATGGAGACGGGTCCAAAATATTACTTCTTAATTACAATGGGATACATTTAAAAACCTTATTGTAGGGTAACATTTTACAAAGCAATGTAAATTATATTATTTGTCATAATTTAAACATATGGTTAGACTTTGGATGTTAGCTTGTATAATCCGTTAGTCAAAAGCAACCTTTCTTTAAACCCTATTTAGAATACTGAGATTTTAAATATAGCTCTTTGTTTTCTCTTTTGAGAAATGTGTAAGTTCCTGAAGACTATCTTTTCTAAAAGTTAACTGAAAAGAGTATCAGGGCTTTTCAACTGAAGTAAAATATCTCGACACAATACAAATATTCCTTAAAATTCACTTTGTATGGACTAATAAGCATTTTTAATTCACTCTTCAAATGATCCCATATAAACTCCGAGGATTTGGAGGCTGAGAAAAGCTTAAGAACTCTAAAGACCTTTTCTATATAGGGAAGCAATGCCTCCTTAATCCCTTTAGTAGTCTTTGTACATAGTCTCTCACTATGCAACACATTTCGCAACTTAATAGTTACTAGAAAGAACACCAACAGAACCATATAAATGTAAAAATGTATGTATTTATATATCATAGAAATGTGTATGTCAGAAAGTCATCTCACATAAACTATCTAGCTTTAATAGACAAGTATAATTGTTAGAGATGAGAACTTTGCAGTTTAGTATTAACTTGCCTAGTTTACAATTCAGCACCAGCAGCAGAGCTGACTTTCTGGAGTAATTACACCAAACGCTTTTCTTATGAAATCCTCATTTGAGAATTTGCTCATAACGCTACATTGTATGGAAGGCAAGTGAAATTGAATTACTGCCAAAGTGACATCAAGTTTTAAGTGGAAGCAGCCAAATTTCTTGTCACTTTGTAAAAGGCTTGGAAGTAAATTTTCCAATTTGTCTGTATTCACTGTAGTATTACTTGAAATTCACATCTATGTCAAAAAATTGTTTTCACAGTGAATTCTTCTATCATGAAGGACAAAACATTATCCTCAACAGTACTTCTCAAGAGGCTCTTTGCCTTTAGGGATAAAGTCATAACTAAGCAAAATACAGAAAAGTCATTCTGATTACTCATTTGATCTCTCCCTGCGTTATAACTAAAAAAAAAACATGATAAATGACACATTTGCAGCTACTGCTAAGGAGCCCGAGTCCCCTAAAACTTATACCATAATAAGGCGCTGGAGTTCGTATCTCTGAGTTATTTTTGCAGTGTGGCGTGAATCTGAGCCAGCGTGCCAGTGTGGAGCACCAGGCGGTCCCGGGTTCCCATGGCGACCGCCACAGCAACGCGCCGCGGCAGGGGGAGGGGCGGGCACCCGCCCACTCCTCGGAGACCCTCTGGGGCGGTGCCAGGAAATTCACTTTGCGAGTAAAAGGAAGAGCTGCAGCGCCGAGCGGGGAAGAAGTCCCGAGAGCACGGCACACTACACAACTGCTCCTCCTGCATCTTCGCGGTGCGTGGGGTAGCACTCCCGGCCTCACTGGGCCGCTTCGGTACCATCGTCTCACTTTTCCTTCAAGACGAAGTCTTCAGGACTTCGTTTTCTCCACGCGACGCAAGAAAATTTCAGATATCTTCACAAATAAGTCAAAGATCAATGATAAAGCCCCCGAGCGGGACGTCAAAACTCCGTCTCACCCACAGAGGTCTCTCCAGGTCCGCCCCAGACCCGAGGCGCGCGCCCGGGGGTCAAGAGCTCCCGCCAGCAACCAGGCCGCCGCGCCCCGCCCCGCCCCGCCCCGCCCCCAGGCGCGAACCCGGGCCGAGCGAGGCGCGGGAGCTCGCGGCCCCTCCCACTTTGCCTCCGCCCCGCGGGCGCCATGGGGGTTGGGGGGGGGCTCGCCCTGGGCTACCTCAGCCTACGGTGCTTGGCCTCTCGGAGGATGTTTCCACAATACCAGAAAAAAGGTCCCAGTAAAAGTTAACAGCCATAAAAGATGAAGTACTACTGAGAATCATTTCACCTTCAAAGCTGCGAGCTTAGCCCTCCTCCTTAGCCCCACCCCCGCCCCCCAGAAGCCGGCCCCCGAAGTCGCCTCTGCGAGCCCGCGCTTACGCTTTCCGGGAGGCGCGCGACGCGCTCGCTCCGCCCCGCCAGCCCCACCCCCTGGCGCCCGGTCCTTCTGGAGAGCCAGCGCGTACCAACTGGGACGTGGGGCGTCCGACACACGCGGACGCCTCGGTCTCTCCACCCTCCTTCACTGTGCTACTTTTCGATCAGAGACACTCCTGCGTCTCCTCCCCTTGCGTGAGTCCCTTCTTCCCTCTCCGCAGCCACCCGCTCACCCCTCAGGCGGACGGCGCTGCAGAGCGAGCAGTGCGCGTGCGCGCGCGCGCGCGCGCGAGCAGACGCGGGCACGCGGCCGTCGGGTCCCCGCGCTCCCTCCCCCTCCGCTCCTCTATAACTTGGCTGGCGAGGAGGAGGCGCCCGCGGAGTCGGAGGGCGGGGAGCTCAGAGGAGGGAGCTCCAGAGTTGTAGAGACTAGTGACTGGGAGAAGTCGCAACCGGCTCCGGTCGGCTCCTTCCCGCTCCCTGTCTCCCTCTCACACACTACTCCGCCTCCCGCCCCAGCCCGCGCCCTCTTCTGCTTCTCGCCCGGGGGCGCCTGCCCGTCGCAGGCAGAGTCTCGGTGCGGCGGGGGCGCCCCGGGGGTGCCCTCGCCCTCCCGGTGAGGGCGGACGGGTGGCGGGCGGGATGTGGCGCCTGGTGCCCCCGAAGCTGGGCCGCCTGTCCCGCTCGCTGAAGCTGGCGGCGCTGGGCAGCCTGTTGGTGCTGATGGTGCTGCACTCGCCGTCGCTGCTGGCCTCCTGGCAGCGGAACGAGCTGGCCGACCGCCGCTTCCTGCAGCTCAATAAGTGCCCGGCGTGCTTCGGCACGAGCTGGTGCCGCCGCTTCCTCAACGGGCAGGTGGTGTTCGAGGCGTGGGGTCGCCTGCGCCTGCTGGACTTCCTCAACGTGAAGAACGTCTACTTCGCGCAGTACGGCGAGCCCCGCGAGGGCGGCCGCCGCCGAGTGGTGCTCAAGCGCCTGGGCTCGCAGCGCGAGCTGGCGCAGCTCGACCAGAGCATCTGCAAGCGGGCCACCGGCCGGCCCCGCTGCGACCTGCTCCAGGCCATGCCCCGCACCGAGTTCGCGCGTCTCAACGGCGACGTGCGGCTGCTCACGCCCGAGGCGGTGGAGGGCTGGTCGGACCTGGTGCACTGCCCTTCGCAGCGCCTGCTCGACCGCCTGGTGCGCCGCTACGCCGAGACCAAGGACTCCGGCAGCTTCCTGCTCCGCAACCTCAAGGACTCGGAGCGCATGCAGCTTCTGCTGACCCTGGCCTTCAACCCCGAGCCGCTGGTGCTACAGGTAGGCGTGGAGTGCGGGCGGGGGGCGTCCTGCCGCAGGGGCCCAGCGGGAACGCGAGTTGGCCGGCCGGAGCGGCGGTGGCTTTGGGTCGCGTTGGGCTGGCGCGGTTGCGAGCGTGGGAAGGGGGCAGCTCTGAGGGGGCCCTGGGCTCCGTGCCGAGTCCCGGGAGGCGACCGGGTTGCTGGAGAGCGGACTCTTACCCTGGACCTGGGAGCATCTAGGATCTGACCGCGGATCCGTCAACGCCAGAGGGAGCCGGTCTCGCAGGCTTCCAAAATGTCTCTCCTGCGAGTTTCCTTGGCCCTGTTCCCGTCTCTCGGCTGTTACCGCCGGGGCTTGCCCTTGCCCCGCTCCGTCTTCGCCGAGCCCCGGGACCTTTCTTCTTCTTCGCTAGTGTTGCTCTTCGCCCCACCGTTACCCCACGTGGCTGGCCTAACTTCAGCACCAGTCTTTGTTTTTAGCTGGCAATCGTTGGCGAAGCTCTTTGCGGACAAGCTGGGGGAGATGAGGTCAGAAACAGGCCCATGGTTTGGGCTGCTGTTATACTTGAACTGTTATGCTTTGGGGGGGGGAGGTGGGATTAGGGAGAGGGGGAAAGAATGCGGCGTTGGATTTGGGTCTGGGGCGACTTAAGCCCAAAATGGGCATTTTCACCCTGGGGCTGTAACCTGCCCTGTTCATCAGATAATTAGGCTGCAGAAAAGAAATGCTAGGCCGGGTTAAGAAACTGGGAGGAAGCTTCTCTCCTGCTTGAGTAATTGGCTCCCTTGACTTAATTTGAAAGCAGTTATTACTCTTAGAAGAGTAGGTTGGAACCTTCTTACTGGTGACAACAAACAGTAAAGAAAACAAAAAAACAAATGTGTACTTTTGGACTAGTTACTGAGAGTCTCCACCTTCCCAGGCTGTGGTGCTGGGTGCTGGGGTAGTGGATGCACCTGGGGGATTGTGATCGCCCTGATATCCTCGGGCCACGTTAACTTGTTCCTTTTCCATACTGCTTTACTGTATTTTAAATACGAGGAGAAATGACTTAAAATTAACCACAAGTAATTTTGGGTACCTCACGCCCTTTCTTATACACTAGCTGACTAGCTGGGAATGTCACAGAGTACTTTTAAAGTTGGTTCAGGCTTTTTTTTTTTTTTTTCCTTTAAAGTGCAAGAATGGGAATGTGTAGTAGTCATTTATATTGCTTGCTTACATTTTAAATTCCCTGCCCCATGTAGCTAAGAGAAACAAACCAACTCCCTTTGGTTAGTTAGCCAGGTAATTCAAACACAAACACCTTTTCTCAAACAAAATTTTCATGTGGGTCTTAGTAAATGTTATAGTGTCCTAGAATACATGCAATGAATGGGTTTTTAAAGTACAGATTGTATATTAGATACTGCTCACTTTTTTTTTAACGTGGAAAACTGCTTAAATTTTCCTAGAAGAAATTATTTGGTAGTTTCAGATGTAATCATCTTTAAAGCTTATCTATATTATGAGCTATATACACCTTTGAATTGAAACTTCTTTTTAAAATTGCCTTTTCCTTTGAGAAATAGAAGTCTTACTGTTTATATTGACAAAGTTGGTCCCCAGAGAAAGCTTTAGCTGAGTAGATAGTCTGTCAAATTCTCTGGGACTCAGAATTTAGTAAGGTGCTGTCTTAATAGTAATACACACATTTCCTGCACTTGAGATAGTCACTGACTATTGAGGAAAAAAAAAATACTAGGTGATGCTGCATATTGATGTATTATTAGAAACAACTAATATTAGATACAATATTTAAAGGATAGTGTGTCCATTTCCTTACAAATGTCTTCATTTCATCTAAATATGAGAAACATTGACACTTGATTTGCAAAGGTAAGTATGCGTTGTCAAGACACTTATTTTGAAGTTAAGTCTTGACATCAATTTAGGGTGTAGGTGATAGGGGTGCTTCTGTTTTGTTTCCTGATTAACTCTTCCTGAAAGTATTTTAATCTTTAGTGATAAACATCACCTTAAGAAAAACTTGTTACTTATAATTTAAATTTAGTGACATATTGCTCAGAGTGGTTGGCTATTTGGATTAGAGAGTAAGAATTTGGTAATCTGTGAGGTAACATATATCAGCGTTCTTGACTGACATTTGTAAATTGCATTTTTAGTTTAGTCAACTCAGTTTTCAGGAATAGTACTAATACTTTGTAGCTAATTACAACAACTGTGTGAAACATAAATTTAGGGTCTTTAGTAATCAGTAATATTGTTCTCCTTATTTATTTTTTAACCTGAAGAGCAATCAAGTAGAACATGATACATTTTTGAAGGAGAACTTGGTAGAACCTCTTTGATATATTAAACTATAGAGTTAAGTAAGAACAATACAATTAAGGTTTGATGGTAGCTTAAAAAAAACTTATATGAAAGGAATCTCAAATTCAGTTAAGTGCACAGATTGCTACTAACATCAAATTATGATGATCATTACTTTTTTGTTTGCTAGATAAACATAGTTTAGTATTTATACAGGTTTCTGTAAAACTTTTTAGCTGATTATAGTTATATTAGGCTTGTTAATTGATAATGGTAGAAAAGCTCAGTCATTTGGTTTTCTTTTTTTTTTGATTCATGTTTTGTTTTGTTTTGTCTTAAATTTAAGGGTGTCTGTGTTTTACAACTAAAAGTGGAACTAGTTTTTTTTTTTTTTTCCAGGAGAGGGAGCTACTTAGTGAATTTTTGGACTGTTGGATTTTTCTAATATTGTCTAAAAGTTAACTACTTAGGGAAAAAGATCTTCTGAATTTAAACTATTCTTAAGGGAAGTTCTAATGTAGTAACTATGCCTCCAAATTAACCACTTCACAATTTCCTTTAATAAGGTACTGCAGAAAGAACTGAAAAACAATTAAGAACTGTATGTAATTACTAACTCATTAAATTTGTCTTTAATAATTTTAATAAACCATAAAATGTAGTTTCTAATGTGCCTTGCAAGGATACTTGAATGACATTGTCTAAGGTATTGACACACACACACACACACACACCTAATATATCAATAGTTTTATAGATTTATAGATTTGTGGTATTTCAAAATACAAAAGTACAACACTCATCCCATTTTTGGATAGTTTTATTAGCTTATGGCAGCTTACTAGCTTTAAGGAAAGTTGTTCTGCCATAAAACTATCTTCTAAAACATTTTTATGTTTTAGATATGTATCAGGCAACTACTCTATTTTACAAATACGTCACAATCCTATTAAAATTTTGTGTTGAGAGACATTGCAGCTATTGTGTAATAGGATTCTTGGTATCCTCAAAAATTGACTTGTTGACGTGTGTGGCAAGATGGAGGTTGTCTTTATTGGTAAAATTTCTGCCACTCTTTGTACTTAACCTGTTCTTGAGTTTATAGACAGTGGGGGTGGGGACTGAGGGGTCGGGAGGAAGTAGAGAGAGGAGACAAAAAAGGAGACAAAGGAGACAGAGAGCAAAAGAAATACTGTCTGGATTTCTTGAAGCCCAGACTGTATCTTTTGAGTTACAGATAGTGAAGATAGTCTTATTTATAGAAAAAAGGAAAACTGTTTGTAGGAGGAAGGAGAAGGATATAGGAATTTGTTTTATTATATGTGTAGTACCTTTTTTACCTTAATTTTTTCAAATCATGCTTTCAATAATACAATAAGAATTTTCATATTTTTACAGTGTGTAACTAATTTTTAAGCTATGGATTTTAAGTTTTTCAATTCTTGTGAATGATATAATAAATGCAGGACATTTTGTATAGTACCTGATATGCATAATAAATACTCATGTCAAGCATGAGTACAGTAAAAGCAACCATATAGTGCATTTTGAAGTTTCTTTGGAGTATGAATCACCTTAAAAAGAGTTAAATGGTTGCGACTATCAACCACAGTTTCAGTTATGCTCTTTAAGTCCTTTCTACATTATAGGTCAAATTTTTAGAGAAGCTTTGAGTGAATATTGTTTTTGTTTTTAAAAATAGTTGCTGTAGAAGAAAAATTAAGATGCATTGTCTAAAATTTAGTTTTGAAGTAAACAAAAGATTATGGCCATTTAGCTAATTGTCTTTCTTTTGATAAGTTGATAACACTTTTATATGGGACTCACTTTAATCTATAAGACTCTTGGCAGTAGAGTCTTTCGTTAAAAATGCCAACATCCTGTGATTCTCAAATTCTTGATTGAAGAATTGTTTGTCTACTTCTTTTATGAGCTAACTTGGGTGGCTTAATCTCTTCTAAAAGGGGTTAGGCTTTTTCTGCTGGGGTATGGGCTGCAGCCAGACAGATAACCCTGATTCAAGCTTATCTTTCACCCAATTTTTATATACTGGAAATAAGATGAAAACAAAACAAAAACCCAGAAAGTTTCTTTAAAGAAAAAAATAATGTAGACAGAGTTAGGCAAAGATCTTGTAGGGCAGTGGTGTTTAGAAAGGATGTTCCAGATTTTGTCTCAGGAGTTCCTTTTCAAGCAACACCTACTTCTCTCTCACTGGCTGCAGCTGTAGTTACTGCATTCCCAGATTTAGGCTGGTTCTGCTGACTAGGTAGTTCTGAGTAGAACATTTTTCACCTACTAAATTTATACACTTAAATCTAGGGTGTTGGTTTTTTTTTAATGTTTTCTGGTTTTTCATTTTTGGGTTCATTTACACTTTTTTACTTGATTAAAAAATATATTAACATAATTCTGTATTCTTAAGGTCTAAAAAGGAGAGATCCTTTTATTTTAGAAACATCCTGGAAACAGAAAATTACCCTAAGAGGGCCCTCCCTGGTGGCACGAGTTAGGATGCAGCACTGGAAGCTAGTGGTGTTGCTTCAGTGCCAGTTCGATCCCCACACAGGGGGTGATCCACATGGCACAGCAGACCTCTCCTGACCTGCCCGCTGCTCTCCTCAGCAGTATACTTCGTAGATCTGCCTGTTCTGCTCCCCACTCTGGTGAATCCTTTCACTGTCCCTACACCTCTGGCTTGTACC